CAGATAAATCAATTGCTTTCAAAAAAATATTTGTGAAATATTTGTCAAAAACAAATCAACTATCTTGAACAAAAAATGGAAAAGATATATTAAAAATAAAAAGAATTTTTTGAAAAGTGTTCATTTACTTTTAATAAATCAAAGCCTTGAAAAAGACAGATTGAAGTAGAAACCGCTACCAGCCGATAAATAAAAATCTGGCAGCGTATTGACAGTGAAAATGAAGAATTGTAAGTGTTTTATATATAATAATTATGTATGGATTTATATAATTATGTATGGGTTTAAGGTTTATTGGTTTATGGGTTTAGGATTCTGTTTCCTTTGCTGGATCGATTCTTACTTTCATCATTCTACATATGACTGCCAAAAAGCACCTAATATTATTTAAAAATAGCTATATCTTCATTATCGACCTTTGAGCTTCAATATCTCAGAACCTGTTGATTTTAGGACCACGTACCCATTGAGACTTTTGATCGGAACACCATAAACTACCACATACTAAATTTTCAGCCACTTTGATCGAAAGTATTTTCCCATAAGAAAACTGCGGGGGGCCCTTTGTCAAAAAATTCATGCGGGAGATTGTGTACTTGGAACCTGATTATTTATTATTTCATCACTATAAATGGACATTCTTATTATACATTCGTAGATTTACAGAATTCGTGATCACGTGCCGTGTAATTATCTGCCTTGGTTATAGACAACTGCTGATTGTATCGCACGATATCCGCTCGCAAGGTATACACATCTCAAGAACCGAAAAATAAAAAACAAATCCAACGTCATCCACGTAACATGCGCGTATATAAGTTTGTAAACGAAGTCAATGCTCTCGATCAAACAACATTCGGCGGATAAACGATAAAAACTGGTTTCGACGGTGAGCACCTTCGAAATATAACGGCGCCGCCGCCTGTCGAGCGTATCTCCTCTGCTCGAAACACGCGTTTACGACTTGAAGTCTTGACGACTAAGTAAGAAAAAATGACCAAATTACCGGGAGCATTAACTTATCGCGTAAGAACCCACTAGCGAGAGCGAGAAAGAGAGAGAGAGAGAGAGAGAGAGAGAGAGAGAGAGAAAAGAGACCCACTAGCACTTTATTTCATTGGTAACTGTAATTTCTTTATTTCCTTCATAAGTGCATTTTTATCACTTTCGTGTAAGTATATCAAGTTACTGTTATCATAATTGTATCCGTAACCGCAATTCGCATTGAGGTGTAAATACTTCAAGTAGCACAATTAAAAGATATGACGACGTCTCATAGATATCAAAATAAACGTCACTATTGTCTTTTGACATTAATCCGCTACTTGAGATGAGCAGTGTTCCGCTTTTATGTGCAGAAAATGGAAAATGAACTTATTAAATATACTAATTAAATAATATGTGTAATTTTTATTAATTATACATATATATTTAGCAAAAATATATTGGATATGAAAACGTAAACTGAACAGCTAAGGAAATTATATCGTGAAAGGGGAAGAAGAATCTCTCGCGTTATTTCACGACGTACCGGCGTTCGCGCGACACGCAGTAGCTCTGTAATCGATTCTTTTTATCTAACGGTATCGCGACGCTTCGCGAGCGGAAGTGACGATTGTTATTACCTGAAGAGCCAGAACTCGGGACCGGTTGAGACTACTAGTCAGACAGACCGCGAGAGCTAGGAGGCCAGGTTGCGCCTGCACTAAGAGCCGCGGTGCATCGGCGCATCGTTCGCCGCATGCCGCCAGGCATTCCACGCACCCCAATTCGTCCAGGGCAGCCCTTCTGGTACCGATTCTAGGTCCAGTCTGCCCCGAATTCGGGGGTGAACTTTGAGCCAGTTGAACGCCGCGTAAAGTTTCGAGCAGCAGGGTCATTCCATCCGCCGGCGGGGAGGCGAACTCTTGCACGAAGCTGGAAAAAAAATCACGACTTGTCACGAGAATATTCGACATCTTGTATAATCGTAACGATATAGCGAAATTTCTTTCTTAACATTCTTATTTTTAATACTTTCGCGTTCTTAACATCTGTGTCGCGCATTGTTTTTATTATTTTATATTTACTACACGATTATACATAATCATATATTTTCTTGGGAATAAAAGAAATGGAAATTCAATTATTAAAAATAGAAATAGTGTTTATGTGTGACATCTGTAAAGAATATATTTATATATACATATAACATACACACAAACTTCTCCTAATAAATGTATATATTGTAATATTATTCATTAAAAGTCAAAATAAAAAAAGAGAAAATCAGAATTCAAATCTACATATCCAATAGATACACATATTCAGCTGTTTTTGGATCTTCTCTTTAGTAATAAGATTAAAGTCACTGATATATGGTACGTCAAAATAAAATAGTTTTTTAAAAATCAAAATTTAAGAAACTAATTTTTAGAAGTAAGAAAACAATACAGTCGTCTCGCAACAAGCTTCGCGAAAATTTTTTAATTGTAAAAAACCTGTTTGATACTAAAAAAAAATACATAGAAATGGAATGTATAATATAAGCAACCCAGTCATTCTGCATATTTGAATCATGACTGTGTCATTGAACGTACATCATTTCAGATAGTAAATGTTTACGACTAAGAAGATTTCTCATCTAAACTTAAACATACCGGTAGTTACGCCAATGAATACTGGTTGTAATAACATTCTTATGTTTTGAATAAAAATCGTCACATAAGCGTTGAAGATATTAAAATATAAAGAAAAAAGATAGTAATTACATAATTACGGAGCTTCTCGCTCGACAAGAAAACCGATCCGGTTTATGCGCGTGTAGCTCAGCGAGTTTTTTTTCCGAGATTGTCACCACAAGAGCGAAGAGGGCGACTTCGTGATTGAACGAAGGAATCGATCATCATCGCTCCTGAATATATTAACAAAGACATTACAAGAGAGACCTGTCCAAGCTGCTGCGGGACAGCTTTTTCATCACTTGTCACTCGATAAGAATCAAAGTATCATTTCTTCGAAAATACTATCGGTTATATTAACATGATTGAATATATAAGGCTTCCTCTTTCTCTCCATACCTATATCTCTCTATAAGGCTAGCTACAGAGAAGTAAGACTCATCTCGTTCGTTTAAATTAAAATAAATGTTATTATCAAATAGTTAATATTTTAAATCGTCAAAAGTCGGAAAATGACTCGACGCAAATGATTTTATGCATGATCCTTCGTCGATTTGATTCTATCGTACATATAATATTATAAATCGAACCTTATTAGTGCTTCTCTGATCGATCCGAGTGTCCTTTTACAAAGTCTTTATATATTACAATTCAGCAGG